CGTGAACGACCCAAATTCACGCGCTGAAGATCATCGTAACATTGCCTATCTACTTGACCTATCTGATACACCCAGCGTGGATTATCCTGACATTAGGAATCAACATGAACGACCCAAATTCACGCGCTGAAGATCATCGTAACATTGCCTATCTACTTGTATGAGCTGACACATGAAACCCATTTGTAAGAAGACGCCAGAGTCGATTACAGAGTACTTATTCTGTGTAACACTTCTGATGTTGACAATATATATAAATACGGTTTCGTATGAGCGATTTGTATATGAACATGTGTACATTGGTAAATTGCAATAGTATACTGTGAACCCTTTCTTGGTGTTTTTTTCTCAAAATTAAAGAGTTGGTCTTAAGTGTCAAAAAATCAAATTATTTGCATTTGTATGGCCCAGTTTGAAGTTACGCATATTTGAGTGGTGTGGTGTGCCAATTAACGACCGTATCGAGGACCCGTTCTGCTGCCATTTCTTCACCGGCCACGCGGTACAGTCTTCCAACTGTTCATCATACCACCATCTTGTTACATGGCAGTTTATTTTATTGTTGAACAACGACTGTAACCGTGTTACATTGTTCCTGTTGAGATTCGGTAGACGCTCATTGCATTGTATTTGGGCAGTGAATTGGTCGTCAGGAATGTAGTACTATTTAATGTAAGGAGTCGTCAGGAAGTCACTATATTTAGATGCTAGTGTGGTGTGTAAACGTCTGACCCCGTATACAGCGGACGGTGACAGTGGGTTATAGAAATATGTGGAATGTTCTAGTACAGCTAGACTGGTGAAGACACTGTGTAGAAATTTCCAGTGGCTTGTTACCCGTATATACAGTGAGCCAAAGCGTGTTAAAGCATCTCTCACTCTTTTCATTAAATCAAGACCAGCTTTCATGTGTGGATCACCCCTGTTTCCCTACCTTGGCCTGTCTCGGAAGCTTGACCACTGTCGCCTCTGGGTGAATATTATCACTGACTTTGCTATCACCGCTGTATTTTTGTATTTGACACTAACCACTGCCATCCTATTATATATTGCCATTGACTATTGTACTACCACTCTATTGTGTACGGCCATTGTAGTTGATATGCAGTAATTGGTGTTGATTTGTAATCCTTGTTAATTTTGTAATTGTTAAATGTATACCATTTGTTGCCTGCTTGTTGTTTTGACACACAGGGGCAGTATAATATAACAAACGGCGCGCATCATTCGAAGTAGATATGATTAAAGAAGTGATGGCAATAAAACAACAACTGGTATTTTGGTATCAAAGACGAAGGATTTACTGCTAGTGAACAGAACAGGATTGGCCAACAGGGTTTCAGTTACGTGTCTATCACCGCCAGTCTTATTCGTTCAGTTATACCAGTGCAAAGGGACTGTGTCGAGTCTCAAATGCAATCACACGCTTAAGCGCGTCCTAAAAATATCTTGAAATTCGACTGTAGATCATGTCTACCGGTGATCAAAGAGTTTGGTCCTTGTGATACGTAGTAACCCATTTATATCGTTGATGAGGACGTTAGTTATTTCACTTGATGGAAACATTTTAACGTACCGAGGTATTTTCTCAGCCATTTTTCTGGTCCTGTTTTTCATTGACGGTCATTCCGTCTCCTCACTAATACTGTCTTGTGTATGGACTGTCCGTCTTGAATCTGGTCCTGTGTTTTTTACTAATGACCAGTCTTTATTTTGTGAATATGAATATTATAGACAGTTCAGACTCTGGGAAGCAAATAGACGGATTGTCAGTCCGTACATTTTCACAATTTACCTCGCTAAACCAATCACAGGTTAGGTTGCGCTTGGTTCTTGAGATGCAAATATGTCCGTGTCGGTGCTATCGCTTTCCCGGCAATCACGGGGATATTACGTGCGCTTCTAACGTCGAGCTCAATGTGCTCTTGGAGTCATTGCAAATATCGCCTGCAATATCATGTGGCTGCCTGTTTTTTAATCTATGTTCTATCGAGACGTTGATAATGACTACTTCATTCACAGATGTTCATATTTGTTCACATGTTCATGAATGAGGCCGTGCACATAGCGTAAACAGATAGTTAGAGAGATGAATTTTGTACACAAATATATTACTTGGTGCCGTATTTTTTTTACAGAGTTATTGTCCCTGCTTTTATGAACTTAGTGCATAGTGTCAGCTAAGGGTACACGTTTTCTCAGAAACTACTGGCGCTATATGAATAAAACTTTGCTTGAGATGCTGTGTGCGAAAACTGGTCCCGGAAACTATTTTTTTCAGGGCTACTTCCCTTGCTACATGTTTTTAGATTTTGCCCATTCCCAGTTACCGCCCCTGAGTCCATGGTGTCTGCAATGGGGGTAAAAGTCTTCTCAGAGTGAGTGAGTTTGATTTTACGCCGCTTTTAGCAATATTCCAGCAATATCACGGCGGGGGACACCAGAAATGGGCTTCACACATTGTACCCATGTCGGTAATCGAACCCGGGTTTTCGGCTTGACGAGCGAACGCTTTATCCTCTAGGCTACCCGACCGCCCCAGTTTTCTCAGAAGCTACTGAAGTTAGCTTGTCTGGGAGAAACTTATCAAGACTAAGTTCGAGAATTGGTGCCATAGATTATTTTTCCACAGAAGGGACTTTTTGTGTGGATTTATTTCACATTTTATCAATTTTTTCTGATGTCATAATGCGACCCTAGTGACAACGTCTTCTTTAGGCTTTATAGGACTTTTTATTGTTTACGTTCACTACTATATGAACAAGCAAAATTCGAATGTGACCCATGTTAAATCTTGATCACCAACGTAACCTCCATCAAAATCAAGTAACATCTGTCATCTCCTTGTTAACCTTCCTGGAAACAAGAAAGCATGCTGTTTCTTATAAAAAAAACTTACTGCTTTTTGAGAACTTCGTCTCTGTAGTTTAGATATTGTTATGTATATATAGGTTGTGGCAGTGTATTCAACGGCAAGATGATGCGGGAAGAACGCCTTTCAGGAAGTACACCTGGAAAAGCGACTCCGTTGGTCAGAACGCATCATTTCACGAAGCATTTCATGGAGCATGCTCGTGCTGCATCCGTATATTTTGGTTGATTTGTTGTTTTACGCCGCACTCAGCAATATTCTAGCTATATGACGGCGGTCTGTAATCAAGCCTGGACCAGACAATCCAGTGATTGACATCATAAGCATCAATCCACGCAACTGGGAAACGATGACATGTATCAACCAAGTCAGCAAGCCTTACCACCCGATCCAGTTAGTTGCCTCTTATGACAAGCATAGTTGCCTTTCATGGCAAGCATGGATTGCTGAAGACCTATTCTACCCCGGATCATCACGGGTCAAGACGATAATTGACTTCATGACTTTATAATTAAATCTTCGTTGTGTTCATTATAATTCCTGCATTTTGATCAGCTGAATAGTCGCGTTATGCGGTTCATTTCCTATGAAATGTAAAAACTTAAGCCACGCCCATCGAACCGGACTATTTTTACCACTTTTTATGTTTCCGTAGTTACCGTATTTATCCCGCGCAGTCCATAAACAATCATCTGCGTCGTGGTGAGTACAAAGCAACAATATGGTCGACTTCAACTACGAAAAAGATAGACTGTACAGATATTATAGACCTTGGTACATCGGACACCAGATGTACTGATATATTATTCTCACATGAATTAGAATATGATCTCTGCTTGTTGGATGATATGAATGCCTCTATTAGTGTAGGCATAAGGTTTGAATGTTGAATGAGTGATGGTCAAACGAAGCAGTAAATTAAAGTTCTCTGACGAAGCAGCCCTAAAACTACCAGGAGTAAGCATTAACTTACCAAAAACGAAATAAAGAGCATCACTAAGGGAATGTTTTTCCTATAGTGGCAAAATAACTACCAAATCTCAAAATGCAAACTAAAACATATGCTTCAAAAGCCCCTAAAACAAGAGTCATCAGACAGATGACGTACTCCCATACACCCTTATAGAACCTAAAACAAACTGGTTGCCATGGAAACGTAAAAAATAAAAATTTCTAAAATTTCCAAATAGCAAAAGGCACCACTTCAGTGTGTGACTGTATACTTGCCAAGTTTCAATCAAATACACTGAATGGTTTTCTAGTTTAGGCCCATAAAAGGAAATGATTACGGACGGACAGATGGACAGACAGACTGGCTGATCGCTATATCCCCCGTGCATTATATGCCGGAGGTGGGGGATAAAACGTAAAGACTCATCATATTGACAGGGTAATAATTACAGGTACAAACAGGTAACACAAAACTAAAAGCGCACGTTAAATCTCCAAAAGTAAAAAAGGGAAAAAGATCTGGCAAGACCAAAACACTCTCTCTAAAGCCATCTTGGCTATTAGTACGTGAACTCATCCGAAGTCACTGCAAAGGGTTAGACCCTCCCTGTACGGTAAAACCTCCCCAAGTTGACACTACTTTAACATCAGAAGTCACTGCAAATGGTTAGACCCTCCCTGTACGTTAAAAACTCCCAAAGTTGACACTACTTTAACATCAGAAGTCACTAAAAAGGAAAGCCCAACCCTACTACGACCAGTAGCTGTAACTAAAATTCAAACAACCTGGGCCAGCTGGGCCCATATATACACTGAACCACATATATCCAAGAATCCTATCAACAACACTGCTGGTTATGGGATCCATATGCATAGCTCCACACCCTAAGCACATTCGGTTCGCCTACCTGATGGTCAGTCAGTATTCACGGCTGAATTGGAGGCAATTCATCATGCACTCAAACTCATACCAGAACTCCCGTAAGCAAAGACAGTCGTCCTATCAGACTCGTTAAGTGCACTTCAAGCCGTAAGGGGCAGAAACTCAAACTCCATGCCAAACATAGTAAATGTTATTCTACACGTATATACAAAACTATCGGACCAAGGACAACAGGTGGGGCTGTGTTGGATCCCCTCTCACATAGATATTCATGAAAATGAAAATGCAGACACAATGGCGAAGCTAGCTCCAGAGAAAGCGGAGATACAGACTATTTCTATACAGCCGAAACTGGAGATAAAAATCAAAATCAAAGCCTTCATAGCCCAAAGATGGCTAGCCCAATGGAACGCAAGTAAGATCGGCAGATGGCTAAACAAAACTCAACCCAAGATGCACCAAATGCCATACTCATACTCAAATGAAAGGAAAGTTGAAATTGCCATCTCACGCCTCATACTCGCTCACAAAAAGCACAATGACAAGGTGTGTCCATCTTGCAATCAGCCTGAATCAATTGCTCACGTGCTACTAGAATGTCAAGACCATGCCCCAGCCCGGGCTCGGCTGAAACAAGAATTGCAGTTAGATCCGCTATCTGTCTTAGATCTCTTTAAATCGCCTGTTGATTTTGACAACCCGGGGCAAGTCGGACCGATCACAAGCCAAACACTTCTGATAGAGACTATGTTGAGAATGTAGAGGGAAAAGGGCTTCACTTTGAGCAACGAGTTTTCTTTATTTCCTTATGCAGTAGCGAAGGCCAAACTTATGTTTAATATCTTATGTTCACAAACATGTGTATATGCGGTGGGCTCCTTTGCAGATTATCTTCATACTAAACACGAAACAAAATTTAAAATCTTCATATAGGTTTTAAATCGTTCTGCTCATATAATTCATCAGTTTCAAATTTCCTTTCATTACTGCTCCTCTGCTGTGGAGATGTTCATCTTAACCCTGGCCCCTTAATAGGCACAGATTCAAAGATCACTCAGAAGCATTAAGCTTAGATGTTCTTAGAACCATGTACATGTGGCGCTGTCCGGGGTAGGCACTACCAGTGATCAGAAAATTTACAATGAAACAAATTGTAAGACATTATAAAGACAGAAGATACAATTCAAAATTGGTAATGTTTTACTAAAAGAATAATCATGTCTCCCCAGAATATCTTTGTAGGCTTATTCCTAATACAGTTTCGGTAAACACAACTTATAACTTAAGGGATGAAACTAATCTTCAGTGAAGTGTAAAACAAAAGCTTATGCAGACTCATTTATATTGATCAGGTGATAGTAGGCCAAATCACTTGTCACTCAGATCCATCTTTTGAGAGAAAGATGAAGTTGTGAAAATCCTTGTCACAATACGTGTCAAAATATGAGTCTGTGACTGTCCAGAGAAAGCTGTATATAGTAGACTGACTTAGTGTTTGTGTTAGTATAGAAGCTTGCCCTCTCAAAGAAAGACAAAAGAATACTCTCGACCCTCACAATAAACAAAAGAACTGATCAGCCCAAGTTCAGCTTGGAGCAATCAGGCTGGAAACTTGTACCGTACATGATCTAATAAAATACAGCATTTGCACTGTCTAAAACCAATACCATATATAAACAGATAAATTATAAAAATGACACTGCCACAAAAACAGCAACCTTCACCATCTGCACAATATTTTAGTTAGGAAGAGTTTACGTAACGTAATAAAAGAGCCGACACGCGTCACTCAGCATTCACAAACTCTGCTTGACCCTATTGTTATCAGTGGACGCAGACGTGGAAACTGCGGGTAAATATTAAGAAGACAAAGGTTTTACACTTCAGACCTCGGAATACGTCTCAGCACAACGGAAGTTTTCATTGTGGTGACAATGACATAGATTACGCCGGCAGCTACAGTTATCTGGGACTCTGGTTGCACGTGCATTGTGATATGCAGCATGCTGTTAGAGAACTCGTGAAGTCTGCGTCACGTGCCCTTGGATATTTAAGCCACAAGTACTTCTCGTGCGGAGATATGCACTATGACGTATTTACTAAGCTGTACGACAACATTGTTCAACCAGTCTTGATGTATTGTTCTGGATTATGTAAATATCCACAGGTATATAGTGTGCAACATAGAGCATGTCGTATTTTCCTTGGAGTACAAAGTAATACATGAAATCTCGCTGTGCGGGGCGACATGGGATGGACTGACCCACATTTGAAACTTTACTTAGAAACAGCTCGTCTATGGTGCAAGCTTGAACGTCTTCCCGTGCAGGGTCTTACATATAAGATACACAAATGGTTCATGCAGTGTGGTAATTCATTCGATAAAAGAGTTCAACGAATTTTTGATAAATATGGACTTTTAGATATTTAAAGATGTAACGAAAAGAGCCCAAGATGGGTTTTATCTCGGATAGAACTTTCATTCAAGTCAAACGATAATGACACCTGGCTTCAATCCTTGGAAACTAAACCGAAAATGAGAACCTACAGAACATTTAAAACAGCTATTTATACAGAGCCTTATGTCCTCCTTCCCCGTTATAAAAGGTCGGTTTTATCATCTTTAAGATGCGGTTCAATGAAGTTCGAGATTGAATTGGGACGTTATTCTAATCCTCCTGTGCCAGTTAACCAACGTTTTTGTAAATATTGCCCTGGATGTGTAGAAGATGAAACTCACTTTCTTCTCCACTGCTCACTTTTTGATAATATTAGTGTTACCCACCTTCCACAAGTATTTAACCCTACAAATGGCAACTTAAATAATAATATTGAGCTTGTATATATTCTAAATGATTATAATATTATTTCAACACTAGGTAGTATGTGCTACAAAATGGCTGTTCGAAGAAAATCTCACTACCCATAACACCATATATATTTATACTGCTTTTTATATGTTTTAACTCAATTTGTTTTACTATGCATTATGTATGGTCTCTTATAACCCACATCGTGGGTGGCAGAGGTACTTTATAGTGTATGAGGGGTGTTCATTAAAGATTTCCCCTGACCCACTTCCGATGGACCTAGTGGAATGAAACTTGGCAAAGGTATTAGTCTCTCTCCACATAGGAGTGAGTGAGTGAGTGAGTGAGGTAATACTTTACGTCACATCAGCAATATTTCAGCCATATCGTGACGAGAAGTTAGACATGAAATATGCAAATATTTAAACGTTATCTGTCATCGAAGGACAGTATGAGAACTAGAATATCACAGATAAGATTTAAAAATAGTTGCGGAACATTTAAAAGCATTAAGTATTAAGGAACAACACAATATAAAAATGGGCTAGAGATCGTCAGTAACTAAAGGGAGATCACCACACCAGGGACCATGGGGACTTACAGTACCTTTGCTTCCTGCATGGACCTCCACATAGGAACCAACAAGAGTTACACACTTCTCCCATCGTTTTTTGCAACTATAGAGACCTCGTTTGTAAAAGGCCTCATTTTGCGTCTCAAACCAGGACTTGACTTCAGAAATCAGTGTTTCATCATCTGTGAAACGTTTTCCCTTCAAAAATGACTTCATGTTTCATCCTGTGTGATAAGTCTGTCAAAAATGTTCGCCTGTTTTCTTTGGCACATGTCCAAAAGATCATTTGAGCAATTGACTCGTTCCTGCTTTTGGAAAGGTGTGAGCAACCTGGGAATCCATCGTGCAGACACCTTATGCATGTTCAAATTGTCATGGATGATTTTTTTTCCACAGACCCAATGAACTGCATTGGCCCCATGTTTTACAGATAATGGAAGTTGGCTGCTTTGGACCTGTTGCGAAAATATACACCAATCTCCGTCATAAGTTTACTGAACCAAATTAAAAATTTCACAATCCTAAAATTTCAACATTTTGACCAGTTATCATTGTGGGCCCTTACTGTGTATTTAAACACTAATGGCCACGTATTGTCTTCAGATAACACCCGTTTTTGTGCAGGTGAATCGATCAAAATCATGTGCACAGCACTGTAGTGGCAAAAGTGTTTTTTCACATGCAACTGGTCACGTGGCAATAATACCGCACATGTTTTCAGCCATACTTGTTAGCAGTCATTAACAAAAAAAGAAAAACACAAGATTTAATCTTCGATTTGCTGATGGTAGGGCGAGGGTGTGGAGGCGCCGTCATGAACGTTACGCCCAGTGTTGTGTACAGGAAGTTGACAGATTTCGAGGCGGAAGTGTCATGGTGGAGGGTGCTTTCTGTGGCAATGCACGTTCCAGGCTTCTTCTCATCCGTGGCAACCTCAACGCTGCTGTTTACCGCGACCAGGTACTGGCACCAGAAATTCTGCCTTTTATGGCAGCACATAGACCCGTGTTTCCAACACGACAATGCCAGACCCCACGCAGCAATTTTGACAAGGAATTTCCTTCAGAATGCGGGAGTCAACGTCATGGACTGGCCGTCAAGGTCTCCCGACCTCAATCCCATCGAACACGTCTGGGATGCTCTTGGCAGAAGTCTGCTTACTCTCCAGAACCAACCACAGAATTTGCAAGATCTTGGCACCATTTCGCAGCAACAATGGCGTCGTCTTCCCAAGCATGTGTTCACAAGCATCACAAGGCCCATGCGGAGGCGTTGTGTGGCAGTTGTCAACGCACATGGTGGCCCAACACGCTACTGAACTTGTGTGCAATCAGATTCTCGTGCTTGGGACTTATGATTTAAACTGTTGATGTCATACCGAATACCGTAGGTGCTTGGAACAAATTATGGTTACCACCGTTAATCAAAATCCTTCTTTGGACATTAATGATTAAAACTTACCTTCTCTGATACATTTGTCCGTTGAATATCAGATATGGGATTACTTTTTAAAATGTGAAGTTTTTAATTTGACTCAGTATATATGGTTATCACAGACTGTACAAAACACATTATTGGTAAAAGAACAAGTTAAGCTCGTTTCACTAGACCAGTTTAAACAATATTGGAGTATGTTTATTTGAATTTCTTCGAAAGCGGATGCTTATTTACCATTTAAACATGATCTCATTTTAGAACCATATTTATTATCACTCCCCTACAATCCCCGCATTTGGCGGTTACAATATTTGTCCACTCGGTTAAGAACAACACATCACAGGCTAGAAATTGAAACTGGAAGATGGAATAATGTATATAGGAATGATAGACTGTGCTCACTTTGTAACACTGCAATTGGGGATGAATTTCAGTTTGTATTATGTTGTAATGAATTACAGGATCTCTGTCAATTTTGAGCTATACACAAATTTACCTATCTCATGAATTGTCTATATCAGCCATTACTTATAAAAGTTTGCAAATATATCAAAAGTTGATTGTCCTTACAGAAGTAAGTGCAAGATATTGTTT